ACTTACATGGTTGAAAGAGAGCCTCAAACTTTCAAAGAGGCAGTCACCTCCTCAGAAGGACCTCAATGGAAAGAGGCAATTAAAAGCGAAATGGATTCAATCTTGCAAAACCATACATGGGAGCTAGTGGATTTACCTCAAGGTTGCAAACCACTAAGCTATAAATGGATTTTCAAGAAGAAAATGAAAGCGGATGGAACCATTGACAAGTACAAGGCAAGACTAGTAATTAAAGGCTATAGACAGAAAAGTGGCCTTGATTATTTTGATATGTACTCTCCTGTCACACGTATTACATCCATTAGATTGGTACTTGCAATCGCTTCTATAAGAAATCTTGAAGTACATCAAATGGATGTTAAAACAGCTTTTTTAAATGGGGATTTAGAAGAAGAAATCTACATGGAACAACCAGAATGGTATGTTGCCCCAGGAAAATAATCAAAGGTTTGCAAACTAGTGAAGTCATTATATGGGTTGAAACAAGCCCCAAAACAATGGCATCAAAAGTTTGACCATGTGATGTTGGAAAATGGATACAAGATTAATGAATGTGACAAGTGTGTTTATGTTAAAAACACAAGTGAGGGTTATGTTATCTTGTGCCTTTATGTTGATGATATGCTTATTGTTGGTAGCAACGATAAAATGGTTCAATCAACAAAGAACATGCTAAAGGCAAGATTCGACATGAAAGATATGGGTCTGGAAGACGTCATCCTTGGTGTGAAGATCACAAGGACTGAAAATGGACTTACTTTGAATCAAACCCATTATGTGGATAAAATTCTTGAGAAGTTCAACTCTGGTGATACTACTGTAGCTAGGACACCAATTGATACAAGTCATCATCTAAGTAAAAATAGAGGTGAAGGGCTTGCACAAGTCGAATATGCAAGAATCATTGGTAGTTTGATGTACCTTATGAGTTGTACCAGACCCGACTTAGCTTTTGCAATAAGTAGACTAAGTAGATATACCAGTAATCCAAGTGTTGAACACTGGAAGAGTATTAAAAGAGTATTACAATACTTAAGGTACACTCGCAATTATGGGTTGCACTATACAAGATATCCCAAGGTCATAAAAGGGTATAATGATGCCAATTGGATATCCGACATTAAAGATTCCAAGTCAACCAGTGGGTTTTTGTTCACACTTGGAGGTGGAGCTATATCATGGAAATCTTCAAAACAAACAGTTATAGCTAGATCCACCATGGAATCGGAATTTATAGCACTTGATAAATGTGGAGAAGAAGCTGAATGGCTAAGATAATTTCTGGAAGATATACCAGGATGGCCTAAACCAGTTTCTGCAATCTCAATCAATTGCGATAGTCAATCAACAAATGAACGGGCACAAAGTGATATGTATAATGGTAAGTCCCGACACATCCGTCGAAGACACAACACCATTCGACAACTACTCTCAACTGGAGTTATCTCAGTTGACTACATAAGGTCCAAGGATAACATTGCGGATCCGCTAACCAAATGGTTAAATAGGGAGTTAGTTGCAAAGTCGTCAAAAGGAATGGGATTAAAACCCATGAACGAATAAGTTATTGCGAAGGAAAACCCAACCTAGTTGACTGGAGATCCCAAGATCTAGGTTTAATGGGACAACCTACTTGCATATAACATATGTGGATCACTGTGGGGGGTCAATCCCAACCCATTCCTATAAATAACAGTGATGCAGGTTAAGCTTATAGTAGTTGGTGATAAGTTGGAAATCATCAAGCTTTAGCTTTTAATGATTATGTTATAGTCACCTATGTGAAAGAGAGAGAGAGAAGTGGGGTCGCTTCAAAGGGATTTGAATGGGCAAGTTCCTAAGAGCTCTTACAGAACCAAGCAAGTGTCCACGACCAAAACGGACACATCAATGAGAACCTAACTAGGTCAGGGAGAATCATGTGAGACATGGATTGATTATTTACACAAATGGCAGAACAGTTCAAGGACATCGAGTCTACTGATCCGCTAGTAAAATAAATATGTATCTTAAGGGAATGTTCAAAGGGTCAAACCTATTTATCATGTGCATGATTCAACTGCTGGATTTTACCTAAAGCAGCTAGCAATTGCGGATGCTGAAGCAATTTCATTCATGTGGGGGATTGTTGGAAAATTAATTTTATTAATTTTCCAAAAATGGATTTTCTCCATTTTTGAGCACAAATTTAATACTCTAAATATAATCAAAACGAGTTATTGATTATATATTTGTGTTCTCCTCCGTGATATCTACGTTTCGATATATCACACGTCCAAAACGGGTTAAAAATGAATGAGAAATTACTTGTCAAAGTAAGGCAATTGAAGAGAAGATAAAGGAGTTAAGTGGGTTTTTAAAACTCATCCCACATTGGAGGAAGAAGGAAAAGAAAATTGGTTTATAACTACAAAGACTAGCTACCTTTGTAAGACTAATTAGAACCAAGGCTCTCTCTTGCGCGCGCACGCAGGGGGGGTGCAAATGCGAGCCAAATTGGCTTCGGGCCACTGAACTTGTGTGCGAGCGCGCGGACTGCGGACACGAATGCACCACCGGTCGACCAGAAAAGTTCAAGGACCTTTTTTGCATTTTTTTCTTTTTGATTAACTGTTACAAAAAACGAATTAAGAGCTATTAATCATAGATTTCGGTTTTGATTCTTTTATTAATTCTCTTATTTAATTGTGACAGTTACGATTTCGTTTTAATGACATCGGTTACATTGGGTAGTATATATACAATCCCTATGTGACTGGTTAAACACACCGAATGAAACGAAATCAATCTCTTCATCTCTTACGCTTCTGCTTCATCTTTTCTCTCTTGCTGCAACCAAGGTATAATCCGGGCCAAGTGAGGGTTCGGGCAATCTAGAAGAATTGATTTCCACTGTTGTATCTTGGGAAACAAACACCCATATAGGGCGAATTTGTTTTAAGGAAACTGTGTTAAACACAGGCCTCAGTCAAGAACTTTATGCTTTTGTTCTTTCGTACAATTTTGGGTTATATTTTCCTAACACTTTCTACCTATGATTCCATCAACTTCGCTTTCCTCAACTGCAGGTCCATTAGAGCTTCCAATTGTTCCTTCTTTGATTTTAATTTCTCCAAAAAGAGTGGTTTCAATCTCTGCAATTTCTTTTTCTCTACCAATTAAAAATCTGTTCTTGGAAAATCACATTTCATCAACGTTTTTAGTTTCCTTTTCGACAACATCTTTAAACTCACTCTACAAAATCTAGCTTAATACCCATTGATTAAAAGTCATTGAAGCAACATCGTAAATCTTTGGATCATTTCTTAGAGAAATATCACCTACAAAGAAGCATTTGCAGAGATTCAGAACAAGAAAACATCATTAAAACTTAAAATAGGACATCCATTTACAATTAATAAGAGAAAAACGGAGTCTCAAATGTCATTAATGAAAAGAAGATAAATAATGAGCATACCTCACATGCGTTTTCAAGCATGGAATCGACAAAATCTATAATTATGAGAAGATGCTTCATCTCCAACGTTATATAAAAGAGGGAAGATTGAATGAAAATTTTGAACGAAATTTGGAGGGATCTCACGTGAAATGAAAAATCCGAATAAACATTTTAGAGGAAAGATTAATGATGTGGTTCAATGTTTTTAGTACAAATTGTTTTTTGGTGCGGTTCAATGTTTTTAAGTGCGAATTATTTTCTGGTGCAGTTGTAATCGTTTTTTGGTGCAGTTTCAATATGATTTTTTGGTGCGGTTTTGGGAAACCGCATCAGAAAATTCTTTAATGGTGTGATTTTGGGAAACCACACTAACAAAGCTATTTTATGGTGCGGTTCTCTTATTTTTGATGCTGTAGATATTTAATAAGATGGTTTTTAGAAGGGACCGCATCAAAAAATAAAAACCCCTCGCACTATTAAATGCCTTGTGTACTGGTGTCATTTCCACGAAGATTTTCCTCTTCCTTAGAGGGTAACGATTTCCGCAGAGACCCTCTCTGCGGAAATCGTGGTCATTTTCTGAAAGTTCCATTTTCTTGGTCATTTTTTTCAAACACCCCTTTTTTTTGGGTCATTTCACAAATTTTCTTTTTTTTTTTAGCTCCAATGGATGCTTACATTTTCAAAATATGAAGAACATGTCTTGAGAAGAAGATAACAAGGCGGTGTTAGTTCAAAAGCAGCATTATAATTATCATGATTGTGGTCCAAGAATTTATACATTGATACTAGATTTTTATGCTTTATTGGTTGCTTCGATTTTGTAGATATGAAAAACGAGCATGAAATGAAGACGATAGTGGTGTTTTAGAAGATCCATTATGATTATCAAGATTGAGTACAAACATTTATTGAGTTTACAAAGATTTTTAAGCCACATAGTGAAGTTTGAGTTCATCATTAGAATTTACATGACTTGATGATGTCCAAGAGTTATCATGGAGTGGTCCAAGATTTTTAAACTCCAATAGAAGCTTTGATTTTACGAAAATGAAGAACATACGTGGAAATGAAGACAACAAGAAGTGTTAGTTTTAAAGGCATCATTATAATTATCATGACTGAGGTCCAAGAATTTATGCAATTGTACTAGATTTTTAAGATTCATCGGTTGCTTCGTTCTTGCATACATGAAAAACGTGCATGCAATGAAGAGGAGGGTATGGTTTAAAAGCATCCATTATGATTATCAAGATGAGCTCCAAAAATTTATGGAGTTGGATTAAGATTTTTTAGCCCCATAGTGAAGTTTGAATTCAATGATTAGACTTATGGGTGTCATACCACACTTACCACACTATTGCAGTATCACGTCATCGCCACATCATTTTTCCCTCACTCCACAAGACTAGTGGGTGTCATACAATATCTTTACTCCACTTCTAGTTTATTTTTTTTTCTTCTTTTTAATTGTTCACAAATAGTCAATAGTCATAAAATGAAAGAAAAGAAGTGTGTTAAGCTAGCTTTTTGTGGTGAACATACCACAGTGAAAATTGAGGGGTGGGTGTAGTGTTCATCGCACCGCAAAAAGAAGTGAGTTAAGCTAGCTTTTTGTGGTGAACATACCACATTGAAAATTGAGGGGTGAGTGTAGTGTTCATCGCATACTGCGGTGCCACCTCATCAATCGTAGTGTGTGGTTAGGATGTCCCGACTAGCCTTATAATTTATACATGACATGAAGATGTCCATTAAAAATCTACAATTCCTTTTTCCGTTTCCTTTTCCTTTTCCTTTTTCTTTTTTTTTTTCCTCTTCCTTTCTTTATTTTTTTAATATCATTATGCAACTCTCTTTTCAAAGTTTCATTTCCCCCAATAATTTCAATAATATAAACAAATTATACTACTAAATTAGTTTAAAACAAGACCAACATTTAATATAAACAACTTAATTTATATTTTACTAGTAAAAAACTCATTCTATTTACAACAGAAGTGGTAACATTTCTGTGTATTTCATTTAAGAAGAGTAGTGTATCGAATCAAGGAAAAAATGGCAATTATCTCTACCAATAAAGTTCAGCTCCAACAAGTCATCCAATTCAATTCAAAAAGCATCAATAACCCTGACTTTGGGTTTAGAACTTCAATTTCATAATCTATGTAGCAGAACGATAGCGAGTGACATACAGATCCACCGCTTTGGAACTTCAAATTCAGAATTTATGTGAAATTAGAAACAAATTTCATATCGACTTTCATTTCGGAGCCCTAATTCGTAGTCAATTAGGGAAAACAGTATTAGATTGAAATTGAAGAGAAGAATTGAAACCTCAGATTCTAGTTGGGTTTCTGTTGCAATTGCTTCAGCTGCCGGAGCTGGGTTCCGAGATCTTGTGGATTCGTGGATGAGTTTAGTGTGGGCGGAGAGCTTTGGTAGGGTGAAAGGGAGTGATTCGCCATGAAATGTTGGAGACGAAGATATTGAGCTCCCCACAAAGTACATCAAAGGCAATCTGATTGTCGTGTATTATTAGTTATTTTTCGAAAAAAAAAAACTGTTTTAATTATAGTATTAAAAAAGTTAAAAATAATATTATTATTTATATAACTAAAAGTAATATATATATATATATATATATATATATATATATATATATATATATATATATATATATATATATACTAGCAGCGAACCCGCGCGATGCGGCGAGCGACAAATAGTTTCATTCCAGCGATTAATTATATTTTCCTAGCCGACGAATTGTTTGTCATCGATCTATTTCGGGCATCTCAGACGTTGATGGTCAACAAACTTTTTTTGTTTTCTTTTTCTTTGTTCGAATTCAGGTTGTTTCGGTTCGTTTTTAGTTTTTTCATTCGGTTCCACTTTTATGGATTTTGATGTTCGTGTTTTCAGTTAAGCTAAACCCGCTCAATTATATTAGTCATCTTTCGTCAAATTAGACTAAATTTTATGACGAATAGTTTCAATTTGGCAAATAGTTTTACGATGGAGATTAGTTTTACTATGAGGAATAGTTCTAAACAACATTTAGTTCCTTTTTTTGAACAACACGGATAGTTATCTTTAGGTTTTAGGGTTTATGGGGTGGGGTGGTGCAACAAATATAATTACGCTTATTTGATTTTTTTAGGGGTGGATCGCTCATAATATTTAGTTGTGTTTTCGAGATTTGTAGAAACTTAGATGGGAAGTTGACAATTTGTAACCATGGTTGGAACATTTTAAGACTGAATCGAAAGTGGATCATATTAACAACCAAGAGCAATGAAGAGTCTATACAATAATGACTACATAACTTTGGTTTTTCTATCGATCAAAAGGAATTCCATCATTTAGAATTACTTATAAAATTTATTATATCAATAAAGTAAATAATATTAATAAGATAACAGTGAATATTTTGATAAATATAGTTTTTTGTTACAATATATAGGTAATTTACATCCATTATTTTGAGTTAAAAATAAAATTATATGGTTATTTTAGTTAAATTTAAAAATACGTTTATTTTTGGGCTAAAACTAAAAATAACTTGCTTTTTGTTTTAATATATAAATATGTTGTTTTGGATTAAAAAAATATATTTATATTTTGGTCTAAAAATATAAATATAGTGTTGTTTTAAGATACTAATAAAAGGGCGTTTAATATTTTGATTTAAAAAAATAAGATTGTTTTTAATAAAATAAAGTGCATTAAGCGTTATTTTCAATTCAAAATAAATCTGGAAAATTATGAAATTTTACTGCAATCATAATTACCTAGAAATTCACAGAAGTGTCGCTTATATTTTTCAAACACTAAACTTACATCTTTGATCCTTTATATTACAGGTCATCTTCAATTCATTTCCTTATAAAAATATAATATTACATTTATTATAAAATATAGAAAGATACAACCATTTCCTAAAAAATCCAAAATAATGTTTTATGACATTTAGTTTATTTATAATAGAATAAGTTCATAAGCGAATAGATTTTTTTACAAAAAGTTTATATCGTATGAATAACTCTCAAGTGTCTATTAGTTTGTTTAGTCCTATAAAATATTTTTAAATCAGTTTGTAATGATAGGCGTGAGCCTGTAATTTTCAAGTTTCAATAAGAAACTTTTGGTAAAAAAAGCACGCCAAAATAAAATATTTTTAAATCAGTTTTATGTTTTGCAGCTTTTCATCATGTATTTTCCTTTCATTATGAATAAAGCCTTTGTAATATTTATTGTTAATTGTTAATAACTAATATACACAATGTAAATGAGATCATTCTTTTGTCCACATTCTTTCATAAATATTGTGTTTGTCTGTCGTTGAAGGTTTTGTTAATATGAAACTATGTACATACTATAATATTTGGTTTGCTTTTGTATTACAAAATTAATAGCTTACAGTAA